TCCCCCCCGCTCCTTTTGCTCTTGTGACCTAGTGGTAAGAAGCTGCACTGCAACCCTGAAGGCATACAGTTTGAACACACCAGCTGCTCCCTGAGAGAAAGATGGGCAATGTCCTCTTAGAGAATTAATTGCCTTTGAAAACACACCAGATTGTCAGCTATGGGTTGGTTCGACTTGATGGTACCCACCACCACCACCCTCAACAACAACACTTATTAAGAGCAAAGTTTTCTCACCCATAATAATGGTAAAATGATTAAATAAAGGGAATTTAATATTAAAATAAAACTATTATAATTTATCAGTAATCAAAGGCCTAAAATTAGATTTTAGAGATTTCATTTATGTTTTGCAAGTTCTCAAGTAATATCCTTTATAGATATTTTTTTCCAGTCCTACCTCCAATGCTTGGTATAAATTGTAGTCAAGTGTAACTGTACACGTATGTTACAGATTGAATTGTATAAAAATGTGTTATAAATCCTAACCTCTGTATCTGTAGTTACAACCACATAGGTATTGAATTATATTTGCTGTGTAAAAGAGACCTTATTGGTGTACAGTGCATTTAAAACTAATCACCTTTGAAATACAAATGGAGGAAATTAGGGTACATTAGCAAAAAGAGATGGGAGAAGACAGATTATATAGCATACGAAGATCACCGAACAGCTAAGGAGTAACAATCTTCCTGTAGAATCAATTCTACTACCACTTACCCTTTCCACTGAATTCAGATGTCTAGGTTCTTATGTAAGAGAATATTTTTTAAAGCCACTCACATGGGGTTTTTGTTATTGTTGCTGTTGTTACCTGTTAACTGAAAAATCAGGTCTCTTTAATCTCTTTTATTGTGGAATAGTTCTTCACCTTTGACTTTCATGACAATGACATTTTTGAAAAATACAAATAAGGTATTTTGTGGAATTTCATCAATTTGTGTTTTTCTGTGTTTACTGCAGAGTAGATTCAATCATGAATTTTGGCCTATAATATCAAAGAATATTGTGGACTTTTCAGTACATGACATTAGTAGACATATATCAATTGGTCCAGTTACTGCTGGTGTTTGGTGGTTTGTTTTTTTTTTTTTTTTTCCTTGAGCTTTTGGTCAATGTGATATTTACCACAATGAACAGATACAAAAGAACTTTTCCATTTCTTACATTTAATAAACATCTATAACCTATTAAGAAAAAAAAATTGTTCTCAAATAATTTCCATTTGTACGTGGATTCTCCTTTGCATTTAAATTTGTCTTCTTTTTGATCAAGAATCCATCCCTTGAAACAGTCCAGAGTCATTTGACTTCCTTGGCTGATATCACATTGCTAAATCTGGGTTAGAAAAACCTTGAGACATTGCTTTTGGGAATTTCCAGCCTCCATATTGAAGAAGATATGAATAATCTCCTGGAGTATGACAGAGCAGGATGAATAAAGATGAGTTATCCCTGGTGAGTTTGTCTCCCAAGATTAATAAAATTTGTCAATGACTAGACATGTGGATGTGGCCATCCCAGACAATCTAACCTAAATTGAGCTCGACAGATCATGAAATCACCAGTTGCTCATAGAAGTATTTAGCTTTCCTTGAAGGATGTTGGAGTTCTTAGAGAGTTGTGCTCTAATCCTAAAGAGGTGCCTCTCTGGAAGTTCAAATGTATCTATGGCTCTGGAAGAGAACGATGGGGAGAGGAGGGTGTCTTCTCCATGTGATTTACAGCCTCAGAAACTAGTTTGGAGGGTAAGCTGTAAATTAATTTCAACTCAATGGCAATGATTTCTTTAGTCACATCTATTGCTGTCATTATGGTAGCTATGGAATCCATATGCTAGCTATGGAATACCAACAAAGGAACTTTGGTGTTGTAATGAATAGGGAGTTGTGCTGTTAACCCTATGGCAAGTATTTGAAATCTGTCAGGTGCTCTGTGGGAAGAAGATGGACGGGCTCCTCTAGAGTGATTTACAGCCTCCAATGACCTGCTGGAAGGTCAACAATGAGTGGATTCTGATTCCATGGCAGTGATTAACTTTAAAGGCATATGGGAGAGCACTTGTGTTATAGTAGTTAAAATATTTGAATGCTAACAGAAATTTGACAATTGTATTGACTAGTTGTTTCATAGGGGAAAAAAGATGTGGCAGTCTACTTTAAAGAAACCCTGTGAGAGAGTTCTACTCTATTCTATAATGTGCCAAGACTCTGAGTTGACATAAAGGCAACTTTTTTTTTTTTTTTGTTATTTTATGTCTAGTCATGTAGCTGTGTTCAAGTCAACATTATTTAAAGGCATATGGCCAGCAAGTTTTTGTTTTTTGTTGTTGTTGTGTATACCATAGATTCGGAAACGACCCAGAGCTAAGCCTCTGGTGGTTTTCAGAGGCTTTTATTGCACAGGATGAGACTGCCCATCCTTCTCCCACGGAGCAGCTGGTAGTGTCTAACTGTGTGCCTTCAGGATTGCAATGTAGCTTCTTGTCACTAGGCCACCAGAGTCCCCTTATGGCTAGCAACCCAAATATTTTTTCCTGCTGCTTTATAATTTTCCAAGACATGTATAAGTGAGCAGTCTCATGGTAGAATGGCAGTTTACAAAAAGGAGCAAGATAGAATTTGTGGTGTTCCTAACATTTTTGAGTAAGATTTTTGTAATGATAAGTCTGGTAAATATTCCATAACTTATGGTTGAGTAGTGGTGGCACACTACCATTGCTACTTGATGGTCAACAAAGAGAAAACATTAAATATATAAAAAGAAAATATTTTAAACATAAAATGTATAGTTGATTGTCATGTCAATTTGAATGATAACTGAATCCTGAGGATATGAAAAGATGGTATATCTTGAAATTACTTTTTGTGAGTATAATCAAAGTGTTGTTGTTGTGCACCGTCTTGTAGGGACCAACCCATTGCTGATGATTCCAGAGAGTTTTCAGTGGTAATAAATTACACAGGAGGAGATCACTTATTCTTCTTCAGCAGAGCAGGAGGAGATCACTTATTCTTCAGCAGAGCAGCTGGTGATTTGAACCACATACATTTGCATCGGCAGCACAATTTCTTACCACTAAACCACC